TGGTTAGAAATCCCCAGCTAACTTTCTTTGCATATCCTGAAACACATTGTTCCATCATGTCTAGACCAAGTGTTATTCTTCAGAAACCTGATGCTCCTGGATACTCTGTCCCTCCAGAACCACTCCTCATGCTTGGGGCAGACCTCTATGAACTGCATCAACTGAGGTCTCTTGCCATCAAGTGTCTGAGACCTTATTTGTGGCTCTCTTCTTCTGCAGCTAGAGCTATTCCCAGATCCCAAAAGTCATTTCCTTCCTGCATCACTTAGAGTTCAATCAGAGCAGCAGAGCCATATGTATGTTCTATAGATGACAAAATTGTTATCAAGATTTGACTCCAGGCTATTATGGGAAGCCTGTTATGTGACTGTCTTCATGGCTGATGCTGGCACTTTAATTCTGCAGGCCAAGCAAGTAGGGAAAGTGAACACTAAGAGAGAAAACAAAGACAAGCTGGAAGCCCCAGACAAAGCTGTGGCAGTTTTTACTGTCTTCTACCTAAACGATGTGGGTGTCCTACAGATGTTGGTGCCATTTGTGGTGTTGCTAAGCACACACGTAGCCCAGGAGCTGGAAGACCTGGAGGAGATCCTGGGGAAAAGAGAGCAGCCACAGGCTTGTCTACTGAGCCACGCCACCAAGAACCAGCAGGTAAGAAACGTGTTGGGGGCAGAAGCCTTTCTAAGCCTAAAAACAAAATGATTTCTCCTCTGCCACCACCCTCCAGATCTCACACCAAAATGTCCTCTGTGACCCTCACTGGAAACATACAGGGAAGGGAGTTCTAGGGAACATAGAATCAGCTAAGCCAAAAGTGACACATTTCAAAGGCACCACACTCCTGCTTTCCCTTCAGGGCTAGGGATGGTAAATCCCTTGTTGGTTTCCCGCAACTCTTCCCACACTTTTGTAGAGAGTCTCTTCAATTTTCTTTCACTCCTTTCAAGTGAGCTATTTCTTAATGGGACTGATTCTGTAACTGGTACCAGAAATGGCCCCAGGAAAGAGATCCTCAAAATGAAAATGAGATTCTGGGGAGTGGAAGAGGCCATGCAGCAGCACCTCACCTTTGGAGACAAAGCAGACACTGTTGTAACATGCCTTAGGAAAGAGTGGTAATCAGGTTTTGGCCTGGCAGTACAGCTAGTGCATCATGGAGACCCTATAATGAAATTACATGGGCCTCCTTTGAAGGAGCAGCTTGACATATAGGTGAACAATTTGAGTCTCCTGGGCAGAAATATGACTTAAGGGATTATATGGGGAATTCATAGCACCTTACTCAACTTTGAGACTTAAGCCAATTCCTAGACCCAAAGTGGCTACAGGAAGACCTTTTAAGAAGGTTCCTGCAGTGTAGCCATAGAAGCATTGTGCAGCTCTTCCTCCAGGCCTTCCCAGGGGTATCTGTGGTCACTTACCACCATGGCCATGCATGAGGGAGGACATACCCAGACTTCTATGGGGATTTGGATATTGGCCTTGATTATATGAATTCTTGCCATTCCCAAACACTACAGTGGCCCATAAACAGAGTGGAGACTTATGAAGGTCGGGAGATAGATGAGTCTGGGCCTGAATCCAACTCCCAGAGGGTTTGCTTCTGCCAGTGGAAACACACACCAATCCTATAGTTTTAGTCCCAGAATGCCACAGACTTAGTGGCAGAATCCTTGTATTGGTTCCCTGACAATGGAGGAAATACTCTTGTAGCCCATGATAATTTAAAAGTTATCCAGACTAGATATGTTTTAGGTCAAAAGGTGGGGGATAAGAGATAGCCAGTGATTTGATGCAGATACCTAACATTGTTTATATGAGGTACATGGATCATATTCTGTGCTGACTCCAATTTTGCATTCTATGGAAATTAAGAGAGAATTTAATCTTTAAAAGAGTTAAAGCATTCATTCAACAGCCATTATCTTGTGTCCCCTCTTATGAAGACAGTGATTGAACTTAGGACCACCCTAATCTGGTATTTGATCTTGATTACATCTTCAAAATGATCCTATTTTTAAATAGGGTCACATTCATGAGCACTGGCATTAAAACTTCAACATATCTTTAGGGAGAGATACTCAATCCACAAACGCTCTTTTAGATTTGTATCTCCTCAAATATGTGAGAATGAAAAAAAATATAAGGAATTAATTATTAAATGCAAAAGGTGCATCATTTACATTAGTGTGCAGATGACATTTTAAGCCTAAATTGAAGTATTTAACTTCTCTCTCCAATCTGTTATTTTTGCTTAAACAATAGAACTGTCATGTGATTTTAATATTAAAACCCCAATGAAAATATAAAACTTTCTGCTGAAACTTTCCAATGAGAATGTTACGAATGGCCTAAAGTCTACTTGATGGCTATTCTTTTAACCTAACATTTACGTAATGGCTATTCTTTTATCTTTTTTACACAACTGGAGACATTACAGTTAGGAATTAGTGATAGTTCCTAAGAAATACGGCAGAGATACAAAGAAGAAAGTGTTAGACATCAATAGAAAATTAAATTTTTGAGTTTGGTGATGGCAAATTTGGGATACCAGGCTTTTCAGAACAAGTTGTTCTGGTGTGTCCTAGAAATCTTTTCTCTTCTCACTATAGACTTTAGTTAGCAGTTTGACCCAGATAGGAGCCGTGTTGGAAAGTCTTTATATATTTGAAACATATGAAATGGTTCCTGTTTAACTTTAATCCAAGGTTTTTTGTTTTGTTTTGTTTTGTTTTCACCGAAGGTTTTAAGCACCAAAACTAGGGATGACAGGTCCTGTGCATAATTTGTCTTTATCCCAATAGCCATTCCCATTTTTATAATACTCATAACAATATTTTCTTTGTACTCAGCTAAATTATTTCAGTTGCATTTTTGGCTTATATATAACTTGAGATCTATAAAACTAATGTGTCTGTTATTTGTAAAAAGTGAGCTATGTATACATACACCTTTCCTTAGAGACAAACACACTGATACCTCAACATACAAGTAATGAGGTAGATGAAAAGGAGGCACACCTGGGGATTATACAACAATTGAGCTCTGCAGCAGCTCTTGTCATATCTGAGAAAGCAAAGAAAGATGAGAGCATGAAGAAACTGAATAGTGTCTATGGATTAAGGCCAATCCTAACTATGCCCATCCCACTTGGCTAAACACAGGCAAGTTGCCACCAGCGTGTATGAGAACAAATTCGGGAAAGTGTAATTCGACTTCTGATACAGGGCTCAAATGTATTCAATATTACATGCTAGTGTTTGCATGTACTAGAAAGCTTAGCTTTTAAGACATACAACAAGAAATCAATTTCAAATAACATAATATTCCCAGTAATAGGTTCTCCATATTCTGAATCTAAGGCCTAGAATTGTTGCAATTTTTCCGTTTTTTCTTGATTCTTTAGAAACATAAGAGTGGTGCAAACTATTCAGGGAAGCTGGGTGTCTCAGTTATATCCATTTATTTTTTGAATTTTTTTTTTTTTGGAGACGGAGTGGACGGCCGGGCGTCACTCTGTCACCACGGCTGGGAGCCGCGGAGTGGCGCATCGATGCTCGCGCTCGACGTGCAGCCAGTGATTCTCGGGGATGCCTCAGCCCTCCCGTAGTAGCTGCGACTTCCGACCGGGCCAGGCGGCAGACCGCCACCACGTGCCCGATGCCGTAATTTGTTGTATTTTTGGGGGGGCTACAATCGAGGTTATCATCCGATGTTGCCAGGCTGGCTCAACTCCGTCGACCCTCAATGGCGGCGCAGTGACCCAACCCCACCCTCAGGGCAGCCTCCGCCTGCCAAGTGCTAGTATTACAGGTTGTGGAGCCACGCAGCCCAGCCATTTAAGACAAGGCGGCAGCAGAAACCACTGATCCTGATCGCACAGACCCGAAGACCTTTGGGACTCTTTCATGTCAGCCCGCCTCCTGTACTCTTTGCCGCGGTTTAGTCA